TTAAAAATTAATAAAATTTGTTCACTATTTTAATTGATAAAGTTATATTTGCTCCTCGAAAATTAGTAATAGAAGATATAAATTCCCTTTTCTTGTCATAAGAGACTTCTTAAATATAATTCTTCTTTGTATAATTAATTTTCAATGGGTCCATATCTTTTTTAAAATTAATAATGACTGTAATAAAATGTTAGGAGCAGAGTAAAAGGTCATCAAAATAATAGTAACAAGGTTCGGTATGATTATTAGAATTTGAAATTACCGTCTATTTATATTTAAATCTACAAAGTTGTTATTTATTGTACTGATTTTTTAATTATATAAATTACAGTTAGATGAAATACATAAATTGATTTTGATGAAATAACAAAATCTTAATTTATACTAGTTTTGCTTTTAAAAAAAATTTTAAATAATATTTAAACTAAAGATAAAGCTATGATTCTATAATTTCCATTGACGCTGAGACAATAGTAACAGCAATTGTTCAAGACAATGATTGGAAATGACCTCCAGCTAGATCTGAGGACCTAGTCACTATTTAAAATTTAATTTGTGGAGTTCTCTTTCCTAGTAGCAAGATGTAGACATGGTGGACTCCTTTTCAGAGCAGAAAGTTTGAAGTTAGTAGCTCCTGAGAAAGTTTGAGAAAGAAAACTGTGAAAGTGGATTACTTCATGTGTGGGGTTCTTATTGAATCCTAGGACAAACTTTCATTTGTTGGCTTGCTATACTTAATAGACTATCAACAAAGCAAAGGAAAGCTAAGTGGCGTAGGCAAATTTACATGCAATCTTTACTGTGTTAGCAAGATATAGAGATGAGATATTAAAATGATTGAATAGATGAACTCCTAAATATTTAGCGTTTTATATATGTCGATATCAATGGTGACTCATTATTTTAATGAATCATTTCCTTAGACAAGATAATATTATGTAAATACTTACTTGAAATCTTACTTATCATATTTTATTGTGGAAGATATTTTTTTTCTGAAAACATAATATATTTGATCCAAGTATAAAATCATAAAAAATAGATATAAATTCTTTTATTGTTACTTATTATTATGGGCGATAAGTCTAAAAAATATATAAAAATATAAAATTTAGATGTTTGTCTTTTTTGAAGTAAGGAATCATGATATATATTTTTGGACTAGATTTTATTTTGAGAATGTTAAAAAACAATATCTTGTTGAAATGTTCTATCTATCTACCATTTCTCTTATATATTTCTTTAGACAAAAACTCAAATTTTTCCTCTTTTCGAATGATAAATATTTATCAAAATATAGAATGTGAATCAATCAGATATTTGAATTGAAATTGAGATACTAATACAAACTATTCTCTTATAAATCAGATGACTCATATGCAAAAGAGGCTGACAATAAGTTATTCAAAAATTGATTATTTATTCCTATATTAGAGGTTTTTTAGATATGTCTACAATTGAATAAATAGTTTTACGAACTAATGGATCAAATTAAATTTTAAAATGGATATAGACAAAAAAAAAATGAGAAAAATTAAGATATTATATTTGGAGATTACATGGATATATTTGGAAGTGAATAAAATTGAAAATGTAAATATATCGGTATAATATCCTCTTATGTTAGTGTTTTCATTTTTTGGCTTAAGATTATATTTGAAGAATATTAAAATCCATTTTGAAGTCCTTTTAATTTTATTCCTAAGGTTCTTCGCATAAAAATTATTTTAATATGCTTTTAAAACTTTTTGAAAGATAGATAAATTTTAAATGAATTTTTGAGAAAATTGATTTCTTTTATAAAATGAAATATATATATTTTAAGTCGATTTTTTATGAGTTTTTATGTGAAAAAATACTATTCTTTTGAAATATATTTTATCAAGGTAAAAAGAATATGAACAAAGTTTTGGATTAAAAAAGTTTTAAAATAACCAAAACATGTAATGTGAGCTTCGTTTGATGAAACATGTAAACAATGTGAAACTCATTGTGATGATGCATATTACTGTTATGAACCCATAAATAAAGCAGAAATTGTGTTATATTCTCATTGAAGATATTGTTATTTAAATAGTACATTGTTGGATAATATTGAAGCTAGAAAGTAGGATGAGATATGTGCAGAATAAATAAGATAAATATGGTAGAGTTATTGAGATAAAGATGAAGTATTGAGGAGATAGACAATCTGGTGGAGATAGCATTGCATAGGTGAGTTGGTACAGATGAGTGTGCTGGAGAGGAATTAGTAGATGAGGTTGATCTGGAGATGATTTCGGATGAATATCTTTAACACCCCCGGCAAGCCCATCCTTCGAGGATTGTACGCGAAGTTTATCTCTAATGAATAAAAACTGATCCCGAAAGAGGGGCTTGGTGAAGACATTTGCGATTTGATCTTTAGTTGTCATAAAATGAATAAGAAGATTGTCGTTTGCTACCTGTCCTCGGACAAATGGTAATCAAATACAATGTGCTTAGTGCGAGCATGAAGACAGGATTTACAGATAGTTAGATGGCATCAATATTGTCGCACCATACGTTGATTTATTGGGGGAAGGAAATTCAAGTTCACACATCAGACTCTGAAGCACATG